TAGTGTCGTCTCCTTCTGTTTTGGAGTTTCTCGTTTTTTTGTGTTATGCTTTTGAAGCATTTCTTTCTGTATTGTTTCTGTTGTATAGTTTTGGCCAAAACATTGTAGAGATTCGGTTGTTATGTGCTTGCACTCATAGTATAAGAGGTGAAAATCCACTTATTCTCTTGTAAGCCCTGTCATTTATGTTTTGACGTTTCAATAAGGTTTGCGTAAGCCCCGTCATTTATGTGTTGACGTTTATGTAAGGCTTATAATTGTGCAAGACCCGTCATTTATGTTTTTATGTTTCTGTACGACATTGTTTGACGTGTGTTAGAACACTGTCATTGTCGTTGTTGACTATTCTTATGCAAAAAGAATTTGTGGAGGATGGCCATTCGCTAACGGTTCTTTGATGCTTAAGTTAGTGATTGTTTTATGTAAAGAAAAGTACTCTAGTAAATTAAGAATGAAACAAATTTAAATTTACTACATTTTGGCTTCTCAGAACTTGTCCGCCGTCTTGAACTTCATAGCAATATGTTTCCGTCAGACGATTTGAATCATCTTGCCCCGTCCATTCTGTCATGGTCTGATGGCTGGTTCCTCAGGTCTTGAATAGGGATTTTCAGATTTGTGGCCATATATCTTTGAAGAGTCTAATACACGTGCCTCTCATCATGAAATTTTTGAAGAACTCCGTTTTTCTTTGTCGGGTGAAAGACAATTTTGATATGGTCACGTTTTTTATCTTTCGAACAAAACGTCATTGTATTGGATTTGTCTGTTGGTGTTTTCTCAAGTGATGTTTCCATATAGCTTGAAACCTGAGTACGAGCCTACGAATGCCAAAGAATTGATCGAAACGTTTTCATCTCTTTGAACTTGTCAGATTGTGCATTCGACTAAACAACTCGTCAATGTTATGACGACGTCCAAATGAATCGTCATTTTTGGATCATTCACTGCATATACACCGTTAGTTTGATTCACAATAAACAAAGAATCGATACTTACCAGAAGCAATTTCACCCCTAGATTCTTGGCAACGGTGAGACTCGTAGTGAGTTCTTCATATTCAACTTCAAAATTTGAGGCTTTGAAATCACAATGAATGTGCACTATCGCCCCTTTGTGGCGATTTCCATAAGCTTTCCCAATTAGAGTAGAACTTATCGTTTGTTTCTTGAATTCTGCCATTAACGCTGAGCTATGATCTTCCATGGATGGTAATTTTCTTGCAAGGGTCCCACAAACGGCACCAAATTCTTTAAGCTATTTTTCGTAAGTTAAACTATATAAACACGATTTGAACGTTCGTAAAGGACAAATCAGTTGGGTAACGTGCAAGGATCAAAGAAATAGTGAAGAATCAAATGAATAGCGATTAAAATATAATATATTTGATAAATTTAGATGTATTTCTGAGTGTTGCCCGATGACACATACATTGTTTCAGAGTGTGAGCGAGTGAGAATGCTTGTGTGTTTACATTGGGTGCTAATGTTGTTTAATAGAGTGAAAATTAATGCATCTTGTCTGTTTTGTCACTTCTGACTCCTCCGATGGAGTCAGAGCATAACCGTCTACTACATTGCTATCTTCATAAAACAGTCTGGCACTCATTTATCTCGCAATCCTGAATTAATATAGCCAATAAATGCTAATAATGACATGTATATGTTACGTCTCGATGACTCGTCATAAAGATTGGTCAACCTAATTAACTTTCTTCTCTATTACATTAATGACCATATTAAAACATTAAAAATGTCATAACAGTCACATTATGTCTAATAAATGTATCATTAACTTTTATGATCAAATCCCATAATTTTGGGTATACACATTTTGCGATCATAAAAATGTATCACATTAGATAATTTTGTGTGTTTACACTACGTATTTGTTATCTCAACTTCTAAGCTTTTGCTTTTTTTTTTTTTTAAAAGTATGTTGGGTGTGTCTCAGGAAATAAAGAAAATTAATCAACTAAAATTAATTAAGATGACTAAAGAAAAACAAAAAAGAGATGGAGCAGAAATTAGCCAAAGCTCGTGCTACGCACGATGTCCTTAAAACGTATTTGTTGTCTGCCTAGCTGCTAGGAGCATTGCACCGATCGTTTCCCGAGATACGATGACTACGAACAATTGTTGAGCACTCAAACGAAATTGTTCCATCGAACGTGAACAAGCAAGAACACAAAAGGAATTTTTCAGAGAAAGCTGGGGGTGTTTTTTAGCTAAGGAAAACGTGCAGTTCATGTATGAACATGTCTAAATCACCTGCCAGCCATTTATAAGGAAGATTTGTTATGTGTTAATGACATTTTAATGGACATGAACGTTGGACATCAAAATCCAACACATTGGCATTGATTCGTCCAAAGCAGACTCCTCCTAACGGGGCTGCACCTGGAGCAAAATAAAAAAGTTATGGGAAGAAGCAAAAAATAAATCTTATCTCTAGAAGATAGATTTTTGGACGGCACGCTGGTCACCCGCACACGCAAGTCGCGGGTTTTCCTCTCTGTTTTCGGGATTTGATTCGCACCCCCTGCACGCAAATTGAACATTTCCACTTACGAATCTTATCTCCTTCAAAGAGGGTTCCCTTTATAAGGGGTTGAAAATCTCTTGGGTTTTCCGGTGGGGGAAGTAACACACTAGAAACCCACCATTTTCCCATTTTCTCCATTTGAATGAGTGAATTTCGAGAATCAATTTCTCATTCACCCGTTATCCGTTTTGAGTGTACCACGTATCGAATTCTAGCTCTTAACAAGGTCAATCCAAAACCACTTTGACCCGACCCAAATCGAAAGTGGATCCACTCAAAATATTGCCTCAAATTGACCACAACCTTAACCAAACCCTTTAGAGTCTCACACCCAACAAACATTTCCGTCCACACATGCATAGACAAGCTAGCTCGGCACGTTTTTATCACTTTTCATTAATAAAATAATAATAATGGTTCCTCCGGGGGAGCATTACCGGGACCACCGGCGTGGGAGTTGGAAAGGTGGGAGCTGGGGGTTGGATACCCAATATTTCAATTGCAAATTCCGTGTCACGTTTTTGGGTTGGTCTTTTTTCTTCTTACAATTTTATTACTACCTCCGTCCCTAATAAAACTTCCAATTACGGGTTACGAAGTTTGACCAATGATAAAGTTAAATGATCCCTGTGAAAATTCGGATTATTTTTAGTAAATAAAATTTACATATTCAGAAACTACATTAAACCCGCTACAAAGCCTGCAAAAAATAATTCAATTTTTATAAATTTTTGATATATAAAGTAAGAGTTTAAGTGTGATTTAAGTTGACTCTCGAAAAGCGAAATGGAAGTTTATTTAGGGACGGAGGGAGTATTTACTTGAGTAGTAGAAAACTATCAAAGTATTAGAATATCACAACGTTAATTTCTTTAATTTTTTTATTTTTACATCTCTTTCAAACTTTTCTCTGCATAGTTTTCTAACAAGTTTACTAATATCAAAATGGTCAAAAATAACGTACTTAGTGTTTAAATTATTTTTCTTAAGCTAAATTACGCAAACGTGATTTGCATATACTGAACTACTAATATAAATAAATGATTTATGTGATGTGTAAGAATGGAAGAAATGATAGGAAATATATGTATATTATAGATAATCTCGTATGAGTCTAATTGAATATATGATTGAAGGTGTATCATATACATGATGATCTTGCTATTTGAAATAGTAAAATCAAATATAACCATTCAATGTTGTCTCCATAAAACAGTTTGACACTACTCTCCCACGATATTATCTTGCAATCCCGAGTTAATATAGTAAATAAATTAGATACTAATAGTGACACCCGAGTTAATATAGTAAATAAATTAGATACTAATAGTGACATGTATGTGCTACGTCTTGGTCATTCCATCACTGTCCGACAATTAATGAACTTGTCCTAAAATATAAGAATAACTCAATTACCAACATGATCTTCCTCCCCTTACATAGACTTGATCATAAAAATGTACAAGTAGAATAATTAACACATACATAAGCTCCATAATTGTAGAAAAAAATTGGTAAGTCACATAAATATCCATTAATTACTCAAATATTTGCTCTAGCATTCCAATTTTTTTTAGGTTTCTATGATCCTAAAGTGACCGTTTTAAATGATTGAAACCTTACGTCATGCTTTCAATCTTACAAATCGTTGATATTCATGTCTTAGAAAATTCCTCTAAATAATGAAAATTTAATGTTCCGTACACGTTCTCACCACTTTTTTGTAAGTTTGAAAAATTGATACAAATTATTTGTGACTCAATTGAAATATACAAAATGTTTATAGAAGCATGTATATAAAGAATTGCATGTAATTATTAAGATGTTTTTATGGATTCTATCTCAAACCACAGACCACACATCTGTCACAATAGAACAAATCGACCATTAGTTGGAATGAAATTTGTTGGTTCGATTGATTGTGATTTGATAAATGTCTAATCTTTATCACTTTATGTATTTTTTAACCATGACAGCCTTATATGATCTGATATATTCAGTTTGAGCTTAGTCTGATTTGATTTATTTGAATTTAGTCTAATTGAGAGAATTAGGCGTCATTAAAAAACTACTCCGAAGTATGGGATGAAAACATTCTTAGGGAGTGTTTGCAACAGCTTCTGCTTAAAAAAAAGCACTTTTGGAGATGAAATGAAAAAGTGATTAGTTGTAAAAGTTGATAGTGTTTGAGAAAAAAGTGATTTTGAAAAGTAAAAGTTGGTTGTGTTTGGTAAAATAAGTGCTTTTGGTGTATAAAAAGGGGAAAAGCACTTTTGACACGAAAGCCGAGAAAAGTAAAAAATTGGTAGTGTTTGGTAAATAAGTGCTTTTTTAAGCCAAAAGCTGAGAAGTGCTTTTTTTAAAGTTGTTGCAAACCAACCTTTAGTACCCGTACTTTGACTAATTGGTACTTACGTAAAACGGACAAGGAAGTAACATTGACCTTGTACTCAGCATTTGGGTCAATTTCATTCAATGCCTCCTCCACCGTTCACCGCACCGCCGTTTTCACATTACTCCGTACCATATAAGAAGCCAGCCCAGCTAGATCGATCTGATCAATTTCCTGTACCAGCTATTCACTCGACGGAGGGATGGGTTATTCCGACGACGGAGAGGGCGCGGAGGAGTACCTCTTCAAGATAGTCATCATCGGCGACTCTGCGGTGGGGAAGACCAACCTCCTCTCCCGCTATGCCAGGAACGAGTTCAATATGCACTCCAAGACCACCATCGGCGTTGAGTTCCAGACCCAGACCCTCCATATCGACGGCAAGGAGGTCAAGGCCCAGATTTGGGACACCGCCGGCCAGGAGCGGTTCCGGGCGGTCATCTCCGCCTACTACCGCGGCGCCTTTGGCGTGCTCGTCGTTTACGATATTGCCCGCCGCACCACCTTCGATAGTATTCCACGCTGGCTCGAAGAACTTAACAGTAATAAATCCTCTACTTGTCCACTCTGTTTATTATTTTTTTTTTGTTTTTCCTAATATTTTGTCTCATTTATGGTTATTTTCTTGCAAAATTCCATCTTGGAACTACTAGTGATCTGCCAATGATATAGTCATATGCCTGTTTATCTTTTTTTGTTCATTAATAAGTAGTATGGATTTTAGGGTGATATATTATGTATATTTGTTTGTGAATTAGCAATGGAAATATGGGTAGGTTTTGGATTTACCCTGAAATGCTAAGGCTTCAAAGGATGAAATAAATAAATCTTTCTTGAAATTGACAAATAAGTATGACTGAATTATGATAACATATTTAAAATAAATTTAATTGATAATAACGATATTCAAAAGGGCTAAAATGGTTATCTTGAACATGCAACTTTAGCACAATTATTCCTAGCCTTATTCCTCAGTAATCTGGACCTGTTTTTTTCAACATTAAACAAGTCAATGTGATTATAAAAGAAACAGTGTCCGGTAAAAATCTTATCAATAAACCTATATGCCAAAGAACTGGCAATGAAACAGCCAATAATCAATATTGAAAATTTTAATCTGTAGTTTGGATTTATTAAATCCATGGAAGGACTGGAAAATGTCACTCTCTTTGCATCCATACCCAGCACTGCAAAAATAAAATAAAAGACTATTGTAGGAAAATATTTGCAGTTGAAATTGCAGCATTAGGAACAATTAGAATAGTAAAAATAAGTGTTTGGGAGTAAACAACATATGCCTAGAGATTCTTAAGACCATTTACATTAGAATATGTATCTACAACAAATAAAAACATATGGTGATTATGTTTGATTTTACCTTGAAAGTATGAAGGAAATCAGTTCACGCTAGATCTTTTTAATTTAGAACTTTGGTTTTTCAAGTCCTTACAATTTAGAATTGTATAAACCAAACTAGATAGAACACTCATCTAAAATAGATTTATGAGTTTTGAACCAGTTGGATTTATTCTTCATCAAATTTTTCTTTCCTTCAAAATTTATCTCTATTGTCTTCACAATCCCCCCTTAAGAGTGTCCATATAGTGGGAGACAGAGAAAATTACAAAGTGACTGCCCATGTGCCTTTAGCTCATCTCCCTCCACACACACTTCAAGTGTGCAGTGGAGTTGAGTTCCCAATCATTTCATATCCTGGTTTCTCCCTATGCTTTTTTTCATTCACACTTTTCTGGTCAACTTGATCTTTGACTTAAAAACCAAATGGCGATGCAGCTCATTCTGATACAACTGTTGCGAGGATGCTAGTGGGCAATAAATGTGACCTGAACAACATAAGGGCTGTAAGTGTTGAGGAGGGGAGAAGCATTGCAGAAGCTGAAGGGATGTTCTTTATGGAGACGTCCGCGCTAGATTCCACAAACGTAAAACAGGCTTTTGAGATTGTTATCCGCGAGATATATAACAATGTTAGCAGAAAGGTTTTGAACTCTGATTCGTATAAAGCAGAGTTATCTGTCAATAGAGTCAGCCTTGGTCATAATAATAGTAATGGATATGATGATGATGGATTGAAGCAGAACAAGAACAAGGCTTATTCTTGTTGTTCTAGGTAGTTAACTGTTTGTCCAAGAAAAAGGTTTTTCGTTTGTTTGACTGTTTGGTGTTTCTGTAATTTATTGGTTTGTTTTAAAATACCAGCAATTTGTCAATCACATTTTATTCATACATCTTTGTGTAAACAAACGAATCATTTCATGAGTTATGGTCAATTCAAGTGAAAATGGTATTCTTTTTTAGTTTTTTCTACTTTTGGGCACTAAGATTAGATTGTTATGAGATTTTTTTAGCTGAGATTATTTTGAGAAGAGCGCTACAAGATGAATTTATTATTATCAATTTTTACTGTATACTTTTACCATGTTTATTTGTTAAAAATCGCTCGGTTTAGTCTGAGCAAGGCAGTTTATAGTTAGTTGCTTTTTTACATGCATATGTTGAAAACTCCGAGGGTCTAGAGTCTAGACCTAAACACACCCATGTATATATATATGAGAAAATTAACACACGTATGAGTAAAAGAGGGATAGTTTCCTAATGTATGACTAGGCAGTTTCTTTCCCCAAATCACGAGATAGGGACTAGAGTTCGACCAATGCACAATTGCACATATACTAGGATTCTGGTTGGAGTTTTGTAGGCTGCAACATGGATTCGTCAATGAAGTTTTGAGATATGGCAGATAGACTCGGGATTCGCCGACCGGTCTTCAGGGAATCGTCCGAGTAATTGGCAACGAACCCGGAGGTGGTCTGACCCGTGGAACTCTGGATGAGAAGCCCCACAACGATGCTTCAAATGTGCATAGCAAGAGGTGAGACGGGAAGAAGAGCAGGACCGCGATAGGGAGGAGAGGAAATATCATGGTTGAAGTGCAGTTCTTGACAATTGACATGTCTCAAAAATCTCAAGTACTATGTATGTACGTAGTACACGAGATTTGATAATAAAATTTCCATTTTGGTTGTGAAATCCAATCCAAATTTTGATGAACTTTTAAATACACCAATGCTTTTTCCAACTCTGTTTTAAATGTCTCAATTAAATACACTCAAATTTTAAAAGTCCTAAAATGACATGGGACTTTTAAATACTCTCTAAAAGAACACCCCATAAGGTTCAAAATTAAAATTTTGGACTAGTAATTAGGTAGGGGCCGCGCGAACGCAGACCCCAACTACCACAAATTATGACGTAGATTCCACCATTTGGGTAGATCTTAGGATGACACCCTTTCAAAGTGCAATGAAAGTTATCAACCTAGGCCATAGACCTTCTTGATCGCCCATTGACCCCGTCCAGGTAAGTATCTATTATGTTGTGCCTAGTTCAGCTTTTATAAGCTCCTTCTCGCCTTGTGCTCTTCTTTATTTACGGGGTGGGATTAATACATACTAGTGTTTGCTAATTCCCCTTTCCCTGAGCTCTTCCTCGCAGCATTACAAATTTACAATGCCAAATAACAAACTCCACCAAACCTACAAGTACTTGTACTAATTAATTACCCCACGCATTCTTTTCCCAACATCAACTTTCACCTAAATCAAATTACAATTATTATTCTTAATTTATTGTTTGCCTATTTGATTGATTTAGGTAGAGGTTCTCTAGATGCTTCACAACTCCCTAATAATAATAATAATAATAATAATAATAATAATAATAATAATAATAATAATAATAATAATAATAATAATAATAATAATAATAATAATAATAATAATAATAATAATAATACTCCCTCAGTCCCAATTTGTAAGATACATTTACTATTCACTTGGTCAACATAAATCACTCTTAATCTTTTACTTTTTATATCAAAAGCTTATGAAATTGGAATTATTTTTTGCAAACTTTGTAGCGGTTTTAATGTAGTTTTTGAATATGTAAATTTTATTTTCTAAAACTAATTTGAGTGTTGACAGAGATCAATTTGCTTTATCGTCGATCAAACATCGTAAACCGTAAGTATCTTACAAATTAGGACGGAGGGAGTAATAATAATAATAATAATAATAATAATAATAATAATAATAATAATAATAATAATAATAATAATAATAATAATAATAATAATAATAATAATAATAATAATAATAATAATAATAATAATAATAATAATAATAATAATAATAATAATACATAGTAATAATGTAGAGTCCGTTTGGTGACCCTGTTTTTTGGCTTATCAGACTTATCGACAACGTTTTCATCAAACACGTAATTTTTGATTTCGCGCACCGAGTTATGTAATAATAATAAGAAAAGGTCAAGTTGGAATTACGTTTCTGGATGTATTGGCTGAATTTACCGTAGAAGATCATTTTAACTATTTCTCATATAATTTTTCTTTATTTTATTAATAAAAACTATTTTAAATCTAACTGATTCAGTCAATTTCAGTGTTACCAAACGGCCTCGTAATATACAAATTACGATCCATTTTTAATAATCTCAATTATTGATTATTCCGAATCACACCAACTATAGTGGTCATTTATCAATAATGGTCCCTCATGATCGATCTCCTACTGTCATATGGTTAAAAATGATATCTATTTATAATAATTCGAACTATGGTTGATTCATTATTAGTAGTTCAATACTTCAATTCCAACTTCCAACATAATAAGAGCCATATGGTGACCTATTTTTTGCTTGTCAGCTTTATCGTTCAACCTTTTTACCAAACGCACAATTTTTTGATTTCACGTGTTGAAATGTGTAATAATCAAAATAAATAATGTCGAATTTACTTTTATAATTGAATTGTCTGAAATTATTGTAGACGACAATATAAGCTATTTTTTGTATAATTTTTTATTTGCTTTATTAATAAGATGTATTTTAAATATAATTTTTCATAAATCAACAAAATAAGTCAATCCAGCCACTTCAACCAAAATTTCATAAATTTCAACAAAATATATTGATTCAGCTAATTCCAGTTACCTAATGGACTCTAAATCTTGAAAATATCCAAAAATATCCCAAATAGACCGAAGAGTAGTACCCCATCCCTATTCATTAACTTCTCTCTCTCTCACACACACACACTTCTTATTCTTACGAAAATACTTTATTACATGTACCACTAGGCTATGGTGCATCGATACTTCACCCTGATGCTGTATCCGCGTATCCGATACGTATTCGATACTGGTACTCACCGATACGTGTCATGTACGTATTGGATCCGTATCCGTAATTTAATAAAAGTATTGGGCTTATTTTAGAAATACTAATACTTCCGATACCCGTATCCGTGAAAGGATACGCGTATCTGACCCTATAACCCCAGTTTCATGCGACATGACGAAAATTTAGTAGCCGCCCAACATTGATAATGATGATTTCGGGAGTATGTAAAACAATAGAATACTATAATTTGTCATTTTATCGCTTCATCAGCTTTAATTGAAACAAGACTTAGAAGCGGTTCTCTTCACCTTATCTGAATGTTTCTGATTTGAATTTTTTAAGTTCTAATCTGATCTGATCTGAATTTTTCTGATCTGATCTGAATCCTTCTGATCTGAATATTTCTGATGTGGTCTGATTTGAATATTTTTACATATATAATTATAATTATAATTATTATAATTATAATTACAAATATAATTTAAATAAAATTATAATTATAATCATAATGATTACAAATATAATAATTATAATTATATTTAAACCTATAATTTTTATACCTATTACACTATAGATATGATTATAATTGTAATTATATTTTTAATTATAATTGTAATTATATTTATACTTACAATTATAATTACAATTAAAATCACATTTATAATTATAATTATATAAATATAATTGCAATGTAATTAAAATTATAATTGTAATTGTAATTATAGATGTAATTATAATTATAATAACAATTATAATAATTATAATAATAATTATTATTGTTATTATTATAATTGCAATTATAATTTAAAATATAATTATAATTATAATTATAATTATGATTTTAGTTTTTCCATACTCCGTATAATAATAATAATAATAGTAATAATAATACTAATACTAATAATAATAATAATAAGTATTATTATAGTAATAATAAGAACAATACTAATACTTCGTAATAGTAATAATATTAATTTCATTAGCAATAATAATTACAATATAATAATAATAACAATAATAATAATAATAGTAATAGTAATAATAATAATAATAATAATAATAATAGTAATAATTATTATTATTATAATTATAACACTAATAATAAAGTGATAAATCAAGTTTGAAAATTTTTTATCTGATCTGAATGTTTCTGATCTGGTCTGATCTGAATCTTTGTGATCTGATCTGAATCTTCTGATCTTATCTGAATCTTTCTGATATGATTTGATCTAATCTGAATTTTTTTTATCTGATATGATATGTGTAAAATAAGAATAAGCAATTAAATTGAAATATCAGTACTCTAGTTTTTTAGCCTAATTTTTGAAATTTTATTATGATGATTAATTTTTTCTTGCTATTACTCCCTTTGTCCCACTTTAAGGTTCCCACACGATTTATTTGACCATAAAGTTAACTGATCACTGTCATTAATAGAATTATTTTTAGTAAATAAAATTTACATATTCAGAAACTACATTAAACCCGCTACAAAACCTGCAAAAAATAATTTAAATTTCATAAACTTTAGATATAAAAAGTAAAAGATTAAGAACAATGCACGTTGACCGGAGAATAGTGTACGGGAACCTTTAAATGGGACGGAGGGAGTACTCCCTCCGTCCCAGAATTAACTTCGGTTTTGACTGGGCACGGAGATTAAGAAAGTAGGAAATGTGTGGTGGAGATTTGTGCAGAGGAGAGAGAAATGTGTAAGAATGGTTGTGAACCACAAATCCTTTGCTAAAAAGGGAAAGAGGAGATAAATTTGGGACGGACCAAAAAGGAAAGAATGAAGATAATTATGGGACGGAGGGAGTATTATTTAATTTATGAACCCCAGAATGATGTATATTTGAAAATTATACCCTATATTTTTATTATTTATAAATATAATTCGTACCCGTATCCTATAATTTTTGAAATTACCATATCGTCATACTTGTATTCGCGTATCGGCGTATCCGTATCCGTGCAACATAGTCCCTAGGTACGCACATCCCTAATTTCATTTACATACCCATAAATTTCCTCACATTTTTCATTTATATCCTTTATTATTATTGCATTTTCATCTTTCCTTGTTACTGTTTACACTTTTTCT